AACAGCCAGCGCAGCGATCGAGGGTGCGTCCAGGTGGCATTTTTACGCCTCGACAGGCGGAAGGTGTTGGTCAGGGTGAAGCGGTGCTCTTCGTAGGTCCGCAGAAGGAGCAAGCCACAGACATCGCAGCCGCCGAGATCATGGTGACCCAGCACTCCTCACCAGGCAGCATGGTCTGTGCCGACGCGGACGTCGAAGTCACCAAGGTCAATCAACCTATCTGCCTTCGACACAGACGCCAAGAGGAGAGCTGGTCATTTTCGTGGGAGGGGTGTGGACGCTGGCGATCGTGGCGAATTTGTCCCCCCCCCCGGAGAGCAGGTGGAGGCTCATCAGGCGATCGTATGTACCCTGCGGCAGACAGGGCGGTCGTCCCACGATGTCGTTCTGGATGGCAAAGGCGACACCCGCGTCCCGTCGCTCTGCCTTGGGGTGACCACTCCAGAAGAAGGTGTAGCCGGCATCCACCTCCCCTAGTTGGCCTTGTTCAGAGAACTGGGTTTTGCTCAGTGCAGCGATGTCTACTTTGTAGCGCGCCAGTTCCAGATTCACTAGCGTCGTCATCCGTTCCGGCCGGTTCCTCTTGGGATTGTCCAAAAGGGAATGATCATTCCAGGCTGCCAGAGTGTGTGGACTCACCCTACCAGCCAGTTGGATTGGACGGCAGGGAGGGGAGAGAGAGTATTTTTTTCTTGTTTGTCGGTTTCGACCGCAGGTATTTCAGCCTCTGAGCCACGGTCTGGGCACAGATATCGCGAACTCAGCATTTGTTTAGGGCACCTTTTCGAGCGTCCTCCCTACGAGGGAGTAAGCAGTACTGTCCCTAAATGGGACTGTTAATCCGCACCAGACGGCTGTCGCCCTTCACCGTAGGTTTAGTAAGAGAGCGATCCATTGGCCTGGGCGGCCTACGCGGTCGCGTGTCGCTCTCGCCGTAGGACTTTCCACCGTGAGGGAAAAGAGTGGAGGGGATAACAGTAAGGGAAGAGAATGGCGGAGAAGGATGCGAGACGCATCCTCTCCACATACGTGAGAGGTGCCAATTGTGTGCTTGTGTTATGTGCTGATGGGTGATGTTGGTTTGCGTTGCAGATGTTCGTAAGGAAAAACGTGATGGTGTGGAATGACCGACGACTGCAGGTTTCCGCCAATGCGCATTTGGCCTAGTACCCCATGCGGTGGCCGAATATGCGGAGGCAATGCGGGCAGTTGATTCGAGTGTGCCTGGTGTATTTCGTAGCTCCGGGCACTGGTTCGCCAGTCGATGACTGACTGGTTACCCGTCCTTTGAATGGTGATGGCCCAGGCTCTGTGCGGGACCGCTTGTCACCCTTCCGAGCCTTAAGATTTCTGACTGTCTGCTGTACAATTAGTCAGAAAACCATGGTTTGTGCAGCCTAGTTTGAGCTGACAGTTCTCTGGCACTTGGTTCCCTGCTGGTAGATGCGCTCACGCTCCTGCATGGTATACAGGTCGGGAGCATGGCCGCCCAGTCATCCTCCCCCTTCTGGCCTGTTTTTTGTGTTGCTGGTCAAAATCCCGATCAGGTGTTTTGTCTGCTGTGAACCAGGGAGTGTAGTGGTACGCTTAGGTGTGGTCCGACCGTGCGCTCTATTCCGCCTCCGGTCCTCTTAACTATGTCTTGACAACGGGGCCAGGCTGGAGGGAGGGGAGAGTGCGGCCGATGCTGCGCAAATCTACTCTCACTATAAACTAATTCACGGGCAAGTCATCATGCCTGTTCTCTCCTTACTGTGTAGCACACGGTGGACATCATCGGACACGACGATCGAGCTGTCGCTGCCAGAACAAGGACATAAGTCATGTGTTACGTCTGTACACTTCGACGGTGGAGGCGCTGCGGATCCAGCAGACCCGCCAGCGGTAAAAGGCTCCAAACTCAATTTCACTTGTAAATTGGCTATACAACACCCCACAGCGGCCTTCTATCGGTTGTACTCAGCCTCCCCGTCCGAAGTCCACCGCGTGTGACTGAAGCACTATCGTCATCAAAACAAAAAGTTTTTGATGTTGCTGCATAATATTTCATCTAGGCGAAGTTACACGCGCGTTTTTCTCCCAGCAATCAGACCACTCAACCCATATCCATAGGTTCTGGTTTCTTTTGACATGCATTCCACTACCTGAGGATCGCTACCGAACAAGTCAAAGAATTTGCCTGTCGTCTATTCTAATCAACAGGGCTGGTAGCACAGGTGATATTAATCTGGTCGTGCGGAAATTATCTGTCTCCCTAATCCTTATGCAGTTATAGGTTAGGAAGAGCTGAGCTGGTTGTGGTAGTAAAATTACTCAGGCCGCTGCTGTAAGGATCGTACAGAGGAATAACGGCCTAGGCCGCAGAAATCCTACGACCGCTGTGTTTATTATGCCTCTTTATCTCCAATGCCGAAACAGTCGCCTTATTCGGGTTCGACTTAGTACTGACAGTGCTTGATAGATCTGGCTTTCTTAACGCACGAACTGTAAAATTCTCCTTTTTGTACTTGGAACCCTTTTGAATTACCGGTAATGGGGATTGTGATTATAAGAGGCGGAAGGGGAGTGGAGAGCGGAGACCACACAGCATGATGGATTAATTATGCGATTGCGAGGGGTTAGGCCTACGCTGGAGCATGTAGGCATACCCTCTGTATGGATTGCTACCACGCACAGAACACTGGGTTGTCAATTCGTGTGCTTGTTGCTTGTGTCATCGGTAGGAAGCGCTGTAGGGTCGATTGTGCGTGGCTTTCCATTTTTGGAAGGGTACTAACAGATAGAGCTGGCAGGACAATTCTAGGAAACACCGATTCAGTCCGCTATATGACTCAACTGGATATCTCCATCCATCCCGGTGATATGTGATTAAAAGACGGATTTAGGTAGCCCTCAATGATATCAGTGGCTTTGGGTTAATTCCAGGAATGACACCTATTCCCATGTCTTAACTCTGACCCTTACCCTGAGACTAAACCTAAAAGCTAGCCCTTACCTTAGCCCTACCTACTTGGAGCTTAACAAAAGGCGACCTGTAATAGGGGAACACCTAGTGCCGTGTCCTACCAATGTTTTAAACAAATCTGATAACTATAAGGAACTTTATATAATTAACTGTGCAGATTTTTTACCAGGAGACAAGGGAGTAAACATCCAGAGGGTCTTTGTTTTCTTCATAAACATGAGGTAGACTTATGAAATCACCACATATTTTTTGTGTGTCAGATCATTCAGTTCTTACACATAACTACCAATTTGTGACCCATTTTCAAACAAAACAAAATCCAATGACGCTTCTGGAATACCGCGCCAAGTCATAAGTTCGTAGTGGAAAAGCTAAGCCAAAGGCTGTTGGTTTTAGGGATATTGGCGACCTACCTGAGCGTATTGCCAATAAGCACTTACTAGAGAGTGCTTAGGGGCAGAAATGCACAACTGTCCGTGCTCTCTAATTAGATATTTTAGCAGCCCCAACAATAATCTTGATCGGAATAATTAGTGAGGACAGAAAGATAGCAAAATTCTACAAAGACCCCGGTAGAAAGTGCAGCAGTTACAATAAACTTGGCTACCAGAAAACAAACATCTACAGATCACATTTTGGGATTTTTCAGGTCTCGTCGTTGTACTTCTACTTAGTTACTTGGTCCCGTGGAACCGATCATATAGCCTGAAAAAAAATATGCTTTCCCAAAATGCTAGGTGAACATTAGCCAGCCTGGTTTAATCAGGCACAGCCAGGGTCCACTGGACACCAGCTTGTCGCAAAATATGCTTTTGTGTCTTGTTGAAGTTTCCGCGAGACTTATCGAAACCACTACACGAGCACACACGACAAACAGTAGAGACGGTAGGTAGTGCTCCGGAGAATCTGTAGGATTTTTTGAAGGGACTGAAGTTACTTAACCTCGGGATCCAGGATGGGGACGGTGTGACCGCGTGTCGGTGAAGATGATCGGCGCCCATTCTCTCACAACCGCCGATACTCCCTCCCTCAACACTCACTGCATCCTCTGCCCGCTTTCTCTCGTCACCATCCGCCATGACCCTTACCTGCAATTGTCTCCAGCGCCGCACTCCCTACCGACCGTTAAGCAGACACGACGGTGTCCCCCCAATCCAGGCAGATCGTTTGTATGCTGTGACAGAATTTACTTTCTTGTACAATTTACTGTTTTATTACATGTTAATTTTCTCCTGCTGATAGTATAACCTTCACACACATCAAACCTTTTCTTAACCCGCTGGTCTCTCTGCTCGCGATGGCTTGTCTAGCAACCCCGCTCAGCATCTCACCGTTTGAATCTATCGCAAGTGTGCTGCGTTAATCCGCCTACGCCATGCTTAGTGTCCTAGATTGTTACAGTTACTACCTGTTTAGTCAACCTGGTCCTCTGATTTCATAGTGCATTTATAAAGTCAATAGGACCGAAACAGTGTGGCCTGCGACTTGATCCGACTATTCCGGTATACTTACTCACACCTATTCTGCCTCAACCCCATCCGCAGGCCATTGCAATTTCTCTCCGTCTCCGTTCTATCGTATTGGCTATGTCTGCGTCCACTTCGTGCCCTCCCATTATTATTGGTTCTTCCTTATAGAAGCCCTGTCAAGTAGTCAATATGTGGTTAAGCGGGCCCGGTTATGATTTACCAATAAATGCCGTCTGCCTGCGCTGTTGTGTTAAACCTTTAATGGGAATTTTCCCAGAACTTGACTGGATCTCTTCTGGACCTGAAAATACTTTTTTATAATGACAGATATCTCCGGTTATACTCAGTAAGTTTAATTAACCAGATGTACCTCGGTCAGACCGTCCAAGGTTGATTTAGAGCCCACATGCAATGGGCAATTAGCATCGGTTGAACTCTGCTCTGCGTGCTGGACAGTTGACGCTTATTTATGTGTATTGTAGTTCACTGTTAAGTAGGAAAGGACATCATGGAAGTTTTCTTGCGGAAAACAACAGGACATATGATTTCTTGCAAACATCCCAGGCTACTTCCAGTTTTATTCCAAAGCGCGGCGATGTGCATAGGTCAAATCATAGTTTACAAACGGCTAACTGACTCCTACGTGTTTCGTATTTTGGTTATCCTACATAATTGAGATGGGGGATACGTTTCCCGATAGCCCTACTTCGAAGCGTTCTGTGACTCCGAAACTTTGCCTTGAAAATCGGAACGACTGTGTTTCTAGGCTGCTTTGGACACAATGTTTTACAGATTTAAATCTGTTTTTGGTTTTGAAGTATGCTTTGAACAGTGCTAGTCACCGAAATCAGTCGTGCTTTATTTCAGTGCATGCCTCCTGAAAATTTATAAAACTGTTACATGACTCAATTGCAGCTATTGAAGAACCTAAATCTGCGTTAGAGCTAGTTTTATGTGTTCGAAATCCTCCCGCCAGCTGTTTACGCAAAAATTAAGACAAGCGTACCGGGCGCTTACATCGAGGATCGAGGGATGCTAAGAAGCAAAATCTAAATGTCGGCAGGTCATTGCAAAACGCTCCTAGGGCGTAGTTTCGTGATGAGGCAAATGAGTTCTCAAGTTGTACCTAG